AGCCAACTTTTTACCTGAAAATCGAAAAATTTTAGCAGTTTTAGCATGAAAATGCGAAAAAAATCTTGAAAATTTTAAAATTTTTTGGAAAAATTAGGGGGGCTTCTAATACGTCAAGCACGTTGTTCATCTCAGAGGGGGCTTCTAATAAGGGGGGGCTTCTAATATGGGAGGGGCTTCTATTATGGGGAGGGGTTTAGTGATTTTCAATTAATCTCTAAACTAGTTTCTTATTGAGTAGTATTTCTTGATTTACTTTTATACTATCAGATAGCTATTATTATAGTCTTTAATCAACTTACAAGCAGTTATGGGTCTCAAAACGAATCAAAAATAAGAATTCAAACATTGGAAAATCGAGAAGAACAACTGATGAGAGAACATGTAGTCATGGAAAAATGTCTTGATGAAGTTCAAGAGATTAATAAAGAGCAGTATGAAACAGTGATCAAACAAATGACCAAATTGATGTTAGTACTCATAGCATCACAGACTAGTGAAAAAATAGTCGACAGGACAAAAAGCGAAGGTATGAAGAATAATGTCACTCAATTTATTAATCGAAATGGATTTGAACAGATTTATAAGATTCAAGTTCGAAATAGTAATCATGTTGTAGCAATTAAAGTAATGAACAATTTACTACTGACTTAAGAAGAAATTGAGAATGAAATTTGTTCTTTTTTACATTCAAGAAAAAAGTTATAGCTGCAAGATTTCTAATTAAAATATTTTTATTGTAAAAGAATTCGCTCATAATGATATTTTGACATTCGGGTTTGAAGGAATGAATAGAAGAAATCTTGAAGAAAAATTTACTGTCCATATTATCATTATTATTATCATGTATGCATTGCGTGCATTAGAGTCTTGCAGTTTTAGAGAAAACTTGAACCGAGAATAGAATCGGAAATGTTGGAACCGATAGATTCGTGTTAACGGTAACTATACTAGTAAATGAACTGACTTCAGAACACCCTTTCTAAATTTTTTGATAAAAAAATTTTTTTCAATCGTATTCAACAATTTTTTTATTGAATATTGAATTGCTCTTTTCGGTTATAATTATCAGAGCAATTCAATTTTCAATAAATAAAATGTTTGGATATGATTTCAAAAAATAAGCGAACTATTATGATATTGGAACAGACACAATAGTTCACTTATTGATTAACCAAAAAAAGGAAACATTTTTTATAGAGTTGAGGTTGAATTTTTTTTCTTTTTTAGCGCTGAGCGGGTGAGGGCGTACAGGGGTATCGCTCATTTGGCACAGTGAGACTCTCAAATGTTGGAAAACGTAGGGAAGGTCTACGATGCGCGTATGTATGTATGTACGTGCATTAACCTTACCCAATGTTGGCCTTTGTACGTCTAACATACAGTCTCTCTGTACGCGCACGCGAAGTGGATAGATAAACATTTATTTACACAATCAATTTAGTTATTTCTTGTTTCATTTCGAAGCGTCTTTTCGATAACAAAAAAAGAACAGAAAAAACTATTTTTGTTCCTTAATCGTGTAAGCGACTATTTCATGGAGAATCGTTGTACTCGATGATTCCAACAATCGACGACATAGAGATTGTTCTGACGATCAAATGACAGACCTATGCCACCAGTGAGCCGATTCGTTTGATTTCCTTCGCCATTTCCACTAACAACGATACTTCCCTTTTTGGCTCCTTGTGGCCAACACACTATTCGATGATTCCTAGAGTCAGCCACATAAACAGTGCCCAATTGATCGACGATCACTCCATGGGGATCATATAATTGTGTCAGAGCATTTCCTTCACCTTGACCACCAGCCACAACAATGCCTTCTTTCGTTCCTTTCACCCCCTTCATCACACGATGATTGTTCTCGTCCGACACGTACACTGAATGATCTCGATCAACGCAGACGAACACAGGAGTATTGAATTGATCGAGACGATTACCTTTTCCATTACCACCTGCCACCACTGTTCCATTCGTTTCACCCACTCGCCATCGTTTCACTTCATGCTTTTCCGTGTCAGTTACGTAGAGAAATCCCTCATCGTCCATCGTCAAACCCCTACATTTGATATCCGCAATGATCGTTTGTCCACTTGTGCCACCTCGACGAGGCCATCTCACCACTCGACGGTTCCATCTGTCGCAGATGATGAGACTATCTGTTTGTTTGTCGATAATCAAATCTGATGGGCAATTCAACTGATCATTCCTGTTTCCTTCTCCATTTCCACCTGCAACTACTTTCCCACTCTTTGCACCACACTTCCATTCCACAATACGGTGATTGTGGAAGTCAGCGATGTAGATAGTTTGATCATCATCAACATATAAACCGAGTGGGCCAGACAGTTGATTGAGCTTACTGCCCCATCCATTTCCCCCAGCCACAGTAATGCCATTCTGAGACCATTTGGAATTTAGAGAGATCTGTGGCCATTCTGTAATGAAAGGGGAAAAAATAATGAAGTTGTGATTAAAAAGGATTCGAGTGAATCGAAAAGACTTGAACATGAGAGAAAGTTCAGGATTCGTAGCTGTCAAAAAAGTGTCAAATATGATCGATGAACATGATTTGTGAAGTGTAGTCGAAATGATGATCTTTTTGTTCACGACGACATGCATATGTATGTTTCTCAGGACGGCATATTCAAGCTTATATTTGGCGACTTTAACTAACTACCCTAGAGAATATACTGAGTTAAGGGTACCCAAAAAAGTACCCTGATACCAGTATGTCACAGGAACTTTTGGGTACCAAAGTACTTGCAGGTACTTACAGGTACCTACGTGGTACTTTGGCAAGTACCCTGCTGGAAAATGCACAGTAATTGGGTACCTTAAGTTACTGATCAAGTACTGAATTGGGTACCATTGTATAGTATTTCTAAGTACCCTGTTACCAAATTTTCAGTATGTTCAGGATCGAACCTGATCTTTGACTTTTTAAAATTTTTTCTTTTTCTTGAGATAATTTACTAGATTTTTTTTTTACTTTATTCAATTTAATTTTTTCAATTCCAAAAACTTAGCAGGAACAATGTCGGGATCCGACTCAGCTTGAGTTGGTCGTAGACCACTTCAGGGTAGTCCGATCTTAATTTACGACCAAGCTCGGCATTTCCTCGACTAAGAAATAGTCAAGAAATAATTTAGAAAAAAACTAGTATGAAAATTGATTATTTTCTTATGATTTATCGAGTTGTTTATATAGAGCCGTACATAAAAAAGAAAAACGGTGAATGAATAGTCGCCACACAGAACGCGAAAAATTTAGGATACCCTGTCGAAATTTCCTCAGTAAAGTTACAGATTTGTGTATCCATGCAGGTACTTATTCAGTGAATGTACTTTTACGGGTACCCCAAACAGTACATACATCAGTAAAATTACTGAGAATTTTCAAAGTACCCATATTGGGTACCCTGCTAGAGCTTTCTCAGTACATGGGTACCCTGAACTCAGTACTTTCTCTAGGGTAATGAATAGATCCTTTACATCTCGATCTACTCAGTAGCTGTCATTTGTTTAATTTTGAATTGAAATAATGGAAGTGAACATAGTGAGATCAATGTATGTAAAATAAAGTACATAGAAGTGCGATATTCGTACAATGCTTTACCTCTCATTTTTGAGTGGCATGAGCGATGACGACGGCCTTCTATTGCGTGACCAATCGTCTTATTAACTAGATGTCTGAATGCACAGTTCGAAAATTCAAGTATTGTGTTCTTTAATCATCCAGTGAAAAATATTTATCAAATAAAACGGTAAAGAACACGTTCATCAAAAAATGGAACGCTTTCTTTCGTGTTCCACTATATTGCTCAATGATTTCTTTTCAATTCAAAATAATTTTTTGTTTATACGGAACGTGTTCCGTGTCAGTGTATCTGTCTTCATACTTAGAAATAAAAACTTTCGTTCGACACCTTTCTTATAGTGAACAAATATCGTTCGGTGCATTCAAAAGTATTTTGTTTAAGTAAAACAATGACGACAATGAATGATTTTAGCTTTCTCTTGCAAACAGGTAATGTTCGCAGATGAATATTAAGCCATTGATATCAAGACATTTGTACATTGAATAAATAAATATACCGTACAAATGACGAGTATAAAAAACATTAGTAGCAAAAAAAGAAAAGGAAAATATCCAAAACTTAGATTTATTATTTTATAGAAGAAAAAAAGTTATAATAATTTATCCTAGTATGCGAAAGTCTTTGCACAAAATGTTTGTTCAATTTTCTACCACTTAAAAGTTAGTATAGAGAATGAAAAGTAGTCAGTTAGGATCAGAAATTGATGCTCTTTCAAAATGTATGTTCAGAATTAGTTTCTGATTTAAGGCTGATTAACTAGGAGTAAATACTTGAATGGACTCAAAAGGGACGTTTATACAAAGAAGACTAACAAGGAAACATTCCCAAGTGGCCAAGCGCTTTTCGGCAGGAACTTAATGTATCTTACAGACCTTTGTGAACTATGTCTATCCCAAAAAAGAGTTCGTGCTTATGGACTCTTTCTCAGAAGATCAAACGTTGTCAATTTTACAGTTGAAGACTCTCGTGAATAGTCAACCACAAAAGACAAAGAATATTCAAAAGATTTTTCTTTCTATCAAACTTTGTAAAACTTTTTCCGCTGATCATTTTGTTAAACAAAGTTTCCGAATTTCATTTAGAGATGGCGGTATTATGGTCAAAATCCTAAACACTTAATGAGCGGATATAAGACCTTATCAACGAAAAAAATTTAGAAAAAAAGAACGATCCCAAATTCTCCTTTATCTTGTACCATTGAAAATAAAATGCAGTCACAGTCTTTTGTGCTCTATCTATATGTGAGGTGAGTTTCAAGTTTCCTCTATCAAGACGAGGCAAAAGACAGTTATAAGATTTACGAAATGTTATTAGTTTAATTATTATGACAATCGCAACATACATGTTGTGATATCAACTATCCTTTGAAAAGTGAAAAGTCTTCATAGAACTCCTTTAAGCCCAAATTTCTGAAACTAAGAGTGTAACAAAAATCAAGATTTCATAGGCAAATGTTTTTTTTGTAGAAACTTTCTCATCTTTAACAATACAAATTAACTTCCCTTTTGTTGACGATACTTGTACAGATGGTTTGGGCGTAACACTTGCTGTTGAATATTTTTCTTCGTTTTTTCGTGAACTTGATGTATGTGATGATGGTTTCGATTGAGGTAAAGCCTGTTGCCATTGACTCAGATTAAAAGGATCTGCAAGCATTTTATACGGTGGTGGAATTTCACGAAGATGAATGACATCTAAACCATTAACCAAGCTAAACGTATCGATCACTTTGAGATGTATGCCTGGAGGAAGAAGAATTTCATCCTCTTCTTGGAAATAGGAATGTGATCGAATAAGTTTCCCATTATTGGTCTCAATGGAAAATATTGTTCTTGTGCCAGAAGTTCCCGCATATTGTGAGGATTCGAGTACATTGATTGAAGAAGTACACGAACTTATTCCCCACCACGTAAATTCTTTACCCGTCGGATAAAGGGTGCTTAAATCTTCGAGAACACCACGCCACACCGTTTGATATTCAATTGGCCTGAAATAAAATCATATCATGTTACATAGTCATGCATATTTGTTACGTACGGTAATTTAAAAAATGCCGTCAGGAACAATTTTAAATATTTGAACCACGGTTGCAATTTTCTTCGATTAGCCATACGCAACGTGCGATTCAACACTGCATAAAGACTATTGTCAGTTTTCTTCCATTTCATGGTGTATAAACGAATGGAAGCTGACTCATCCTGAGTCAGTCCATCTTTAGGTTCTGCCGAATTCGCTTTTGCGATAATTATATTTTGTTTCAGTTCTTCGTCGATAATGTCTTCCAAGGATTTGCAGACATCTTCAAGAGGTAAGATGGACTCTTCTTCGTATCCAGATATTGGTTGAAGCATTTGCGTTGGTTCGTCGCGAACACTCGCCATCAGACGAGGATTGACTTCCATGGAAGTGGCCATATGAGTATGTGTGCGTCTTACTTAAAATTCGATGAAATTTGAATACTGTGTTATGCTATACAACAAGTATACTTTAAAAAGAACGACTTAGATAAACAAACGGCAAAAGAATGTTATCGGAATGAAGACTTTTCTTACTTTCTTTCGTGCTTCTATCCACAATTTGTCACTTTCACTAGCTGCATACGTATATATATATAGTGTAAAAGCAAACAAATAGTATCGATAGAGACTGTATACTGTTGTTTTCTTTTACAACGAAGAATTTGAGAATAAAAAAGCAAAAAACTCTATTCTATATTGTATATATCACAAATCGAAAAATTTTTGTTTCATAAACATAAATTCTAATACAGATTTTTACACCACTAATTTAACAACTCGAAATATTAATGATCGTCTAAAATTTTGTTTTTGATAATAATTTGTTTTGTGTATTGTTTTATAAAATCAAATAAATACGAAGATATCTGAAAAGTTGTTAAAATTCATTATGACACTATTTATAAAGTAATAATTGCATCAACGACACATTATCTCTTAAAGATGTGCCAATGGCTCACTTGTATTTTAGTGATAAGTGAAATACAGTTTAAAAATATGAATCTCTTTTAATAGAAAGTTATTTGATTGT